GTCATTCTTCCTTTATAGGAATCATCAGAACAAGCTAACATTCTCACTAAACTATTCAAGCGAACTAGTCAGATAAACTTATCAGCTTACCGCTAAATGCTGTATATATCCCCAATATCTATATGTGGAATCAAAGAAGATTGCTTTTAGGATAGCGTCAAGCAGGATGTTTCAGTCAGACCAATTAGCAGCTAATCAAGAGGAATCCGCCATCTTCCCCAGGCGGGATCGGTCCCTTGAATCTCTTCATCACATACTTTCACTCGTAATTGAAGTAAGCTTAACAAAACTAATTGAAGCTATGAAGACCAAGATGTTGTGGCCTCTGGTATGGTCGCAGTCTCCTTTCGATTTATAGAAATGACTTGACCTCGTTGTGGCAACTTGGTATTATTGTCAGGGCGACTTAGTATAACGCACCTAGTCCGAAGTCGTATGCCATAATAGTTTTCATGTTTCCCAGCATCAGAAAGTGGACTTGGTATATTCTCAAAAGTTTTGCCAGCATCATAGTCAGCATCATCAGTGAGTTTTACCATTCGCCGAACCAAGCTACGAACTCGTCAAGGAGACAAGTAAAGCCAATCCCTCGATAAAGGTTCTGCCGAAAATGGTTACACTATCACTCCTCTTTCTGTCCTGTCCAGACGACTTCGGACTAGGTGCGTTCTACTAAGTCTCCAGGACAGAAAGAGAAGTGATAGCGTAACCGTTTTCGGCAGAACGTTTATCGAGGGATTGGCCTTATTTGTCTCTTTGACGAGTTCATAGCTTTGTGCGGCGAATGGCAAAACTCACTGATGATGCCGACTATGATGCCGGCGAAACGTTTGAAAATGTACCAAGTTTACTGTCTGATGCTGGAAATCATGACAATTATTATGGCAGACGACTTCGGACTTGGTGCTTTCTACTAAGTCGCCCTGACAACAAGACCAAGTTGCGACAACGAGGTCAACTCATTTCTTAACTAAACTAAACCAAGAGATTCTTTGAAACGCAATTTCGCTTCGCATAAATGTAATCTGATTAAAGTTTTGATTTTATATTTCAGTAGGGCTAGGCCTGAGAGTGTACTAAAGATGCATAAAGTGGATGGTTATACGACAGTTAAACGAACGATGGGCGTGGTGACGAGTTAGGGGCGTTACACATTCGACAGTCTGAGAGTAGTAGCTGGATTAATTGGGAAGAAAAGTAGGGTTTTAAGGAATCTCTTATTGGAACAAAGCGAAGGCTTGCCTCATACACTCAAATCAACTATACCTTCTATGCAAAAATGGAACTTCCTATCAGGTCTTGCCTCAGTTTTGGCCTCACATGCTTCAAATATTTGCAGGTTCAAGGCTATTTCTCACGTTGCAACGGCCATATTAACCACCAATAGCCTGGACTACGACATCATAAATAGTGCAACTTCTCGATAAACAGCCCTATCAAATCGAGACAGCTGGAATGCAGGTACCGGATGGAGCATGCTAGGGGGTACAATGCGAATTGAGAGGAAGTGGAAAAATCAAGATTCCAGGCCATTTCACCGAGGGATTCTAATGCCATGCCAATGATTTATTCTAAACACATTCAAGCCATTGAACATCAGAGACGATCAAGGCATAAAATAGGAAGGCGTGACTAACCAAAGCACGAGCGTTGACATTGCACTTCTTGTCCAACAGTACTTCTGCTACTTGTATATTTCCACAGTGTGCGGCTACATGAAGTGGTGTAAGATACTCCTGTGCAATGAAAAAAAAAGAATGAAATTGACTCCAGGGTATTGCTACATTAGGTGGACGCCCATGTGATGTAAAAAACTTCTTACCAGTGTGATATCGTCTGAAGAGGCTCCCGCCATTAGGATCATTCGGGCGGCCTCTGCATGCTCCACTTGAGCAGCCATGTGAAGCGGACTCAGCCCGTTCTAAACGAATTAAAATAGACAAATAACTAGTACAGATAGCCTATGGGGAGTAGGTCGATCTGACATAAAATAAGAGTTTCTATTTAAAAAGTTGTGACATTAAAAATGCATCGATTCATGCTGATCAGGATATGATCGGATTATAAAGAGCAATCTTTTAGGTATACATTCCAGGATTTGAAAACTGTGCCTTAACTTATAGGTCCTATAATAGTTAGTAATATCCGACAGAATTTTCACTTATTTTATTCCGTGTCCTATTTAAAACACCATCATACAGTTGCCATCACAACACTGGCAACTCGCTCACAGTTTAGAGGCCCTTATAAATGATGCTTCATCGTAACCTCATGGCAAAGGGTCCTTGAATGAAATAGAGAGTCTCCAACAGGCAAGGGCCGAACCGAAATCCAAATACTGACGTTGCTAAGACTTTTACAATGCCAAAAATAAAAGCCCGTTGTAGATGGAAAGTATTCTTAGGGCGC